CCCCCGCCGCCGGCATCCCTGAGTGGCTGAGCCGTATCCAAGACGGCGGCCGGGGTAGCTTACCTTCCCATCCTAGGGCCGTTTGCCTTGACGTGGTGCTAGCAAATTCTTCTCTCTCCTTCCTCGGCGCAAACGGGGCTCGACGAAGCGCAAATGCCTGTTCATGCCTGTTCCCAATGTAGGCGGGGGCTTTGGACGGCCTAAAGTCCTGGAAGGGCAGCCAGAAAGTTGTGTGCTCTTTTCTGCTTTGAGCTGAACCCTTGACCCTTTGTTGCCAGAAGATTCTTGTTTGGCATTACTTTGTGAAAAAGTTTCTTGCAGCCCCTTTCTAAGGGCATTCGCGGAAACGGTGCTGACTAGGATGGATTTGGATTTTTCTGAGTGAGCTGTAAGATCCTTTTAGTCTGGCCGATTTGATGGTTGCTTAAGGCATCAAGAGCCCTGTGGGATTGTAAAGACTTAAGCTTTTACCATAGCAAAAACTTTTGTGAGCTGCCATAATTAAACATTAAAATGGTAAGACTCTTGATTGTACTGCAATAAATAATTAGTGCAGTGCCCTTTGGAAAGTTGTCTAATAATGAGTGTAAAGTATGGTGGCTTGCATGGTTAGGGTTGTAAATAACAGTAGTGCAATGCTGTAAATAAGTGTTTCTGTATTCACAAGGGTTTACTCTTAGATACAGGATTGTGTACAGGATTACAAATTTAATCTTTTGGTTGTTGTCACCTGATCTGGCCCAATTCCCTGAAAACCACAAGTATCTTCTTGTGGAGTGAGATAACAAATTCCAGATACATTGAAAATAGTCTAAGAAGAACATAGGTACATTGCTAACAATTCTATATAAATAGGTGCTATCATTATCAATGTACTGGAACAGATTTGTAACAGATTCCTAGCAGTATAAAAGTCAGATCCTGCAACTTTTCTGGATGGAAGGAACGTACTAAAGTTAGTGGACTTAATTATCTCTCCGTAAGGATGTACATCCCAAGGCCATTGAGTGACGTAAGTTATGGCTGCTGCAAAGAGAACTTGTCAGTAACCAGGGACTTTTCTCTGGAAGATGAAATGCATGAGAAATATTTCAAAGCACGTGAATGGGGTTGAAAGAAATCAAGATAAAATGAAACAGATGCCCACTGCCTTGCAGACTTCCCGCTGTGTCTCCAAGTGTAAATATGTTTAGCCTTTGGATAGCTCATGTACACTTCTGCCTTGTGATAGCTCTGATGAAGCTTGGAAGAGAAGAGAGGCAAATATCTTGTGCCTTGATCCTTAATGTTATGACAGACGTGGCTTCAAGGTGGTGCCTGTCATTGAAAACCACAGGCTCCACAAAAATGAGTAGGCAATGCAGCTTCTGTAGAGAGAATACTTGGGTGTTTCAAGTAAAGTGTTCACTAGAGCACATTACTGTAATATGTTTAGGTTGTAAATTAATAATTGAGGCTATAATTTACTCCCCCCCCCCTCCTCCAGTCCTCTGAAATCACAGGGTTCTGCAATTCTGTTGGATTACTTCTGCACATGAAACTGAAAATAGGTCCAGTCAAAGAATCTTGCATATAGTCAGGATTAGATGTGTTGTATAATTAAATGATTTAACTTAGATTTTGTGAAAACAAGAATCCCACAATCGTGTTTAGAGCATCATTTTACATGGGAGTCTAGAACATTAAAATCAACCTGCTCTTTCAGAAGAGGGCTGGAGCGCCTCAGGTAGCCCCCTCCTCCCAAATTGTTTTCCTTCTTACTGTACCTTGCCCTAGATTAACCTCTGTTCTCAGGTTTATCTCTGTTTAGCACCTCATGTAGGCCAAATACAAAAAGGGTTTGGAAATACTCATGTCTCCACTCCTGTGCCAAGCAGGTTTCATATCCAGAACACCTACGTTGCATGCAAAAGTCTCTATTCCATCTATGGCATCTCTTGTTAAAATGACCAGGTAGTAGGTGATAGGAAATATCTATGCTAAAGATCTTAGAAGATGGACGTACAACATTTTTTGCCAAGGGCTAGATATGTGCCAGGAGCTGGATTCCAAAAATTAGGTAGGGGTGCAAAAAAGAAGCAAGGCTTCAAAGGACAACACTGCATTTTTATTTCATTTCACCACGGTTAAATAAAAGCAGTATGGTTTTGCTGTACTATAACATGTATATCCTTATATATAGTATATATATATATATATTAGTATATATAATCCTTACGTATTAAGGATTATAATGCTGCAGTGTCCTTTGGAGGGGCTCAAGTTATATATGCCCTGGAGAGATCTTGGGCTAAATGGCCAATAGTCCTACCAATATAAGTCATATTTTTATGAGTAGACTCCTGTTTTTGAAAAGCTTTTGTAAACAGGATATCTGTTTTTACATTCTAGTAGGTCTTGTGCAAATAGTAACACTAATGTCTACAGTGATGGTTGAGAAAGCTAGTTTTTATCTATTAGATATGTTTGCAGAATTATTTGCAAACCCAGTGATATTATCTTAACTTCCCCCCCCTTTTTTTTTTAGTCAAAAAGCCTAATACAAAGCTTTCATTAGAGCTCAGGCCCTCAGAAATGAGACCTCTTTCATGAGTTTGGATAAGCAGTCCCAGCACAAAGAAAAAGCCTTTTCAACAGAACAAGAGTAAGCCAGTATTAAGCTTTTCACCTAGACTAAGTTTTACAAAGCAGCTTCCCAGAATGGATTTCCCTCTCCCACAAAGTCAGCTGATGTTGAGTTTTAATTCTTCTACATCCCGCTGAATCATTTTTAAAGAGCTTTGGTATACCAGAGTGGGATTAAACCTCTACTGAAGCTCACCATATGTAGAAGTTAGATGCAGAAACATCTCTTCTCTAGTCTGACCGGAGACTTTTGAAATATTATAAGATGCTTGAAAAATGCATTGCTGTTTCATTGCAGATAAAAAATTCATCATCGCTAATGCCAGGGTGCAGAATTGTGCTATCATCTACTGCAATGATGGCTTCTGTGAGATGACAGGGTTCTCCCGACCAGATGTCATGCAAAAACCCTGCACCTGTGACTTTCTTCATGGACCAGAAACCAAAAGGCACCACGTTGCCCAAATTGCCCAGGCATTGCTTGGATCGGAGGAGAGGAAAGTGGATGTCACCTATTATCATAAAGATGGTAAAGTGATTTCATTTTTGCATTTGTGTCAAAACAAGTTTTGAAAGCCAGCTTCTGATGACGGTTGAGATGCTCATTGGCTGTCAAGTGCATAAGAAGTATATGGTACTTCTTTCCTGGATCTCTTGAACACGCCTTTTATTGATGTACTAAAAGAATGCTAGCCTGCTCATCCTAGGAAATTGGGATAGGACACAAGGGGCTGTTATCCTAGCTGCATATTAGAGGAACGGCCACTTCCACACCAGCAATCCAGTTTACTTTCATTTAAAAACAGCTCTGGATTGGTGTATAAACAGGTTTCTATTTGCATAGTGCTGAAGTGATGTGAATTGCTTTCTTCACATGGGATGTTCCAAAGAGACCACATTTGTGGCTTGTTTTCAGTTTAGTAAACGACAGGAGGAAAGAAGGGAAGGACTCCAGTTCTGGGAACACTGAGTTGTATGTCTGTGATTGTGATTGTTTTTCAAGTTTAAAAATCAAGTACTGTCAGAACATATGCTGAATATGCACATTTTACTATTTCCAGTGAATGATGATTCATGTCTAGTTCCCCTTATATTTTTATTACTTCACATTGAATTCATTCATAGAATTTGTCAATATTCTGTCTATTTTCTACTTTCTCTCTCACAGTTAAAACTGTAAGGGAATTCTTCCAAATCAGTGCTGAAATATGGCAATATATGTAGTTAAAAATAATATGTTTTTGGATACATGCATGTGTAGTTGTATCATGTGTAAGGAAAGCTTACTTCACATTTCCTCATTATAAATTTACCAGTGAATGCTCTTGAAAATTTGGGCTATTTGGTGCTTTGGATTTTATTCCAAAAGAGTGCTCTGGAGCAGGTGGCAGACTACTCTCTCCTACTGTTCTCAGAAAAAGATGTAATGGCTTTGAAAAGTTTGAGATAGGTGTTATGTTCATGCCCCTGTATGGTCCAAGGCATCTTTTTGGACCAAAGCATTGCACTCGATTATTGGTAATCTGAGCAGAGTTAAGAATGTGCCCAATAGCTGAATCAGAATTTAAGTACTGGGTTGATATTAAACATCCAACCACATTACATATGAAATGTGACTGCCATTCTAAAGACAACTTTTATCCCTTGCATACATATGTAAATCTCAGTTGAATTAAGGACTGACAGATATTTTCACTGTGGACTGTGTTTTGTCTATATTAATTGCTGCTTCACATCATAGAATAAAAAAAACTGCATGGCCATATGTTTAATATAAATGGTGCATTTCATTTGATTGAATAAGATGCTTGCTGCTATACAGTATAGTCATATTTAAACAATCATCTGAATATATTGTTTCAAACACTGAGTAATAACTCAGGGAGATTTTTTTAAAAATCTACCTGTTTCAAACAGGTAAATCAGATATTTTTAAAGCTTGAACTGATTAAGATTTGCACAACGAATCATTGTTTTGGTAGGAATCACGTAATATGTATTTGGTTATAAACTTCAGATGCACATTCATTTGTCAAAATGCATCCAGATAAGCGAATGACAATACTAATTATTTCTGAAGGCTTCGTTTATTTCATTTTCTAATCGTTCAGCTAGAGTAATACAAAATTATGTTGTTCTCTATTTTTGTTTGCACTGTATATCTGTTTGAAGGACAAATGCAAAGCGATGTGATATATTCAAATCTTGAGCTTTAATTAAGCTTTGGAGACCCACCAGCGTGCTGTTTGCATTCATTTGAGAATTGTGACAGTAGAAAGGGACCATAAAGGGACAATTGCACTTTAAAGAAGCTGTGACTCCTGTGGCTCTTCAATGCTTGTGGTGACATTGGTGGACTAGCATTGGTGAAGGATTCCTTTTGCTGATAAACATAGTTCCTGAAAACAAAACAATTTTTTTAAAAGCTTGAATAAGCATATGATATATTTCCTTGAAAAAATTCTCCAAGTCAGGAGAAAGTATGTCTCTTGATGCAAATGTGGTTGTGAATATCTGTGGATATTTATGTTCTCAATTTATTTTGTCGAGCTTCTGCAGTGCCCTTCTTTTAGGATCCTTATGGTGGCCTAGTAGTTATTTTCTCAATATTATTATTATTATTAAATTATTATTAAATCAATTTATATAGCCGCCCATCTCACCATAGCGACTCTGGGTGGCGTACAACAAAGCTAAAAACAGTAAAATAACCTTCCTGCTACAGCTTCCGCAGATGGGAGAGGTCAAAATGAGCTAGACAGTGGGAGCAGCATCGTAATGCAAGCCTCACCTCTTTTGTATATGCATCAGTCTTACACGTGTGTACAAAAGGGGTAGGCCCAGCATTGTGTTGCTGCAACTACCATCTTGGTGGCTTTGATTCCTGATAGAACATACATTAAGATGTTGGCACCATCTAAGTGATAGAGAATCGCCACAATTGTATGTGTTCCATTGTATTCAGAAATAGGTCATCTGTTCAATGGGATCTAATTTCTAGGACTTTAGCTTTAGATTAGTATAATATTAATTCTTTCACTAACAGACAATGTAGGCATCTCACAAAGATTCCTAGTGCTGTCATCATATTGCAGTTCTCAGGATCTGAAGAAACTCCAGCTCTTAAACTTACATAAAAGACCTGACAGCTGCTAGATTGTGGTGAAGATATGCAGAAAACCCTAACGTTTTGCTGCCTTCTAGTGGCCATCTGGCTTTTTGCAGCCTAGTAACTGGTAAAACCAAATAAGTCTGTAGCACAGATACTATTTTTATGATTGGCACAAGATTATTTAGAAAGCTTTATGACTGAATAAGGAAGGCAAACCAATTAATTATTGGCTCTTGTTATTGTGCCATGTGCATTTGTCTTTTTGGTGCTTCTGAAGAATCCTAGCTTTTTGTATACTGTGTATACTGTGGCTACACCTAAATAAAGCTTAGATAGCTTCAACCTAGCTTAGACTTTTGTGGGTCCATGTGTTGTGTAAATCCAGCCTGTTGTTTAACTTCAGCCACTAACCATGGAAATGACAAAACCCACAGATTGCCAGTTAATCAGAAGTTTATAAAAACTGAAGGTGACAAACCTGTTGCATTAATGGTGAGTTGAGTAGAGTATGCTGGATAAGGAAGTTCTATTCCTCAGATGCAAACTACCCATGGAATAAGGACATGGGGAACTCAAAGCAGGTATGAGCATCTGATATGGAAGTAGTTAATAAAGAAATACTGATGTGGAAATTTAAAAAGGGCTTGGGCTTTACAGGATCTGTTTATTGACCTTTAAAGTGTATTAGAAATTGTATGCAGAACCTTCAAAGGTTGTAATCACACTTTTGTGATTACATATGTACATGCACATACCATTCCTTGCAATTGATTATGAGTTCATTGGATTGAAGCAAATGCATTTCAGTTTATTTGTCCCTGAAAAAGAGATATGATGTAATATTTTATTTCTCTGTTCTTAGGATAGTGACTGATACATAACAGCAATAAGCACATCTGCTTATGTCTAGTGAGAAACAAGTTCCTTTGCTTTGAATGGAACAGGTGTAGCAGAAATGGAGGACTGCAGCTTCCTGAATTCCTTGCCATTGTCCATATTGGTTAGGGAAGTTGGAAGCTGGAGTTTAACCATATCTGGAGATCTACCTGTTGTTTAGCCACGAGGGATACAACTGCAGGTTACATTTCCATTGTCACAGCAATTAATCTTGGTCTCCTCAGATGGCAGCCTTGAAATGTCCCTGGATTCATCACTTTCCCAGGAAGTTCAGCACAGTAACGCTTCCATGATCTTGAAAAATTACTCTCTGGAATTATACATGTACTGCAATTGTTACTGTTACTTCCACTGTAAAGAGTTGTGCTTAAGCTGCACTCCTTTCCTAGCTCTGTTTATCTAATAGAGTCGTTTGGCTAGGGTTTGAATCTTATGCCACACACAAGCTGTTACTCAGTGGCTTATTGTAAAATAGTCAGAAAGAAGCAGAAAATTCCTGGAGATACATTGCAATGGGACTACTCCTGCCTAAAAGCAAAGAACCTATGTTCTTCTTGACTTGGAGACTATCCTATTCAAAGTAGAGAGGGAGGGTTAAAGTATAGAAGTATATGTGAACCTTATGTCCAGTTGCATCAAAATAAAATGTTCTCCAAAGTTGCTAAATCAGCAAGTACCGGTATTTAAATTCTGAGTAACAGAACACACGGTGTTCCTTCACATAAACTTCATGACATCCTTTACACAGTCTTTTTATTTTTGAAGACTGATCTGATTAGGTATCTTTGGAGGTAAAATAGTGTTTACATAGCACATCAATATTTTTGTTTTAATAAAGTTATTTGCCATGGAAATATGTGACAGCACTTCCTCTGAGGACTTCATTTTGCCATTTAAGTCATTATTGCATAAATCATTCTTGACAGCTGTAAAATATTGCTTGAGGTGATAAAGCTGTAAAGCTTTGACATAAAAGCTATAATTGTAGAAGGATTGAGGATGGAATGGCATATTCAATTGAGGGATATTGCACTCGGTTGATCCTCTTTGTGTAACAGGTATACAGCAAGGCTATCAAACTAGGAAGCACCTAAGAACAACTATGTCCTGTGAAGTCATTATTGACAGGAGGGTGAACTTGTGTAATGTTGCCATGTCACTGGAGAAATGTGCAGAGACATGCAAGGGCAGGAGGTAGACACAGATAAAATAACAACTGGAAATCATAACTCCAGAGAGTTCTTTTTGTTATTCCAATAGTATTACTCCTGACTGATTGGTGAACATGCTGCAGTTAAACTGATAAATAAACAGATTTCCCAACCCACAGTTTTAAGGGCAGATAAATTAATTTATGCACTCAGCTAAACAATACATAGCTTTTGTTACTATCATTTTCCACAACCTGCAGTGAAACATTCATCTGATACAGCATTGCCATCACCCTGTGAGGTAAGTCATTAATATGTTTTTATCAATGGATATTGGACATGACAACTTAAGTCTTTGTGATGAAAAGATTAATTAAAGACTGAAGAAATTGCAGAATCTTACTGAATCAAACCATTGGTCCATCTTGCTTGATATTATCTGCTCTGACTAAAACTAGCTGTCCAGGGTTTCACTTAGACATTTCTTCTAGCTCTACCAGAAGATCCAAGAAATTGACCCTTGGAAAGTATGTGTCACCAAGCAGTGCTAGGCTAGATGAACAAACAGATGGGTAAATAATCATCTATAGGATATTATTCTATAGCGTCATTTGACTCCATGTCATAAACTCCAGTAGGGGTAGTCCAAGGCATTCTGTTGCCTGAAGTGGAAAAGCCTCCTGAAATCAAGGTGAAGCATTTGTAAATCCAACCAAGTCATGTTGGCACTTGAGGCGGAAAGTCATACTGATATTTTTCTTCCTTTCTCCAACCATAACAAGATGATTAAATAACCAACAACTTGTTGCTCTATATCTTTTTAAAATCAGTAAAAATCTGGATGGCCACTAGATGGCAACAAAGACTTTAAAAAATGTTTTTACTGTCTTCTAGTGGTAGTATAGGCCTTGTAGTCTGTCTGCTTCTTTTCCTGGATTTGGTATGCTGCTAGCTGCCAAAGTCTCTCAAACAATTTGCCAAGCCCAATCCTTTCATGGCACCCAAAATTTGCTGCTCAAGGAAGCTGGTTTTTAAGTTATTAAGTTATCTGCTGTTATTAAGTTGAAAAATGAGCTTCGGATGCCTACAGCTAACTGTATAGCCAGTATCTTTGCTATGCAATAGGACATGAGACTGGATTTTTCATAAATAATGTGATTTGAGTATTTCTCATCTAAAATGGAGACTGACAGGTTCATCAGTTTTCTATTGGTTCATGATCTGAAAGCAATCAGTGTTGCTGGGCACTGCACACACTTGGCTTTCTACAGAGAACATGGACATGTCCCAGGGACAAATTTAGCTCCTTTTTCTTGCAATATTCCTGCACTCCTGACATGTGTATTATAGGTTTGGGTATACTTTAGGTTCTGTTTTGGTTTTTTGGTGGAATTCTGAAATCCACCAGGCCATGGTATAGGTGTAACATGATCATTGGTGGGAAAAAACAAAAGCAAAGGTGAGTGCCACAGTTGTTATGAAACAGTCACACAAATGTTCTAAAGCAAAACTTCAGACCTGCAGAACATATGCCTCTGGCCTGCATATGATCCCTGAGTTCCCTTTTTGAAGCTCTTAGGGCCCCTCCTGTAATTACTGAAAACAGTGGTCTAATATCTTTCCATTTGGGGATGGGAAACATATGAAAAATGTAGTGCTACCCTTAACTGTAGGCCTATCATGATTAAAGAAAGGAAGAATTTCTCAAACCAATCCCTACCTACAAAGGCTGTGGGACCATCCACTGCATGGTTTTCAGTCCCCCAAATGTTAGTGAGGTCTTGGTCACCAAAAGGTTGTTCACCCCAGTCCTAAAATATTTTAAAAGATCTCCTGGAATGGAAACCAGAATTCTTCACAATGCCCTCAAAATGTTGTTCAACAATTATAATTACAAGACTTCCTCTCTCATGATAGAGCAACTAGAGGTGGAACAAAGTGTTTCCATTCCAGCCTGTCACATTTATTTTGTTTTTAGTATTTGGTGCAGGTTGTATCAGTCAAGCGCTCTACCCAAGTTAACAGTCTGTAACAAATCTCCATCTCAAAACCCACTGAAATAATGACTAAGTATGAGTCATCATGGTAAAAGTTACCAACTGCTATTGTGTGCTGTAATATCTCATTAAAATTATACTGAAATTCTCTCTCTCTTTCATATACACACACACACACACACACACACACACACATACTACTATCTCATTAACCACACCTTTTGTTAGTAGCTCAGTTAACCCTATTGCAGGGCTTCAGTGTGATGGTCCTTAGAATGTTAACTGAACACTCTGGTTCTTTCAAACAATGAATCTGTTGTTAACTTGAATATAGTCATACCATTATTCCTGGACTTGTACCTCTTTATGACTTCAGTTTTCATAAGAAGATACAATTGGAGGTTTCTTTGTTGGTACAACTCTATCAAAATGAATAGCAGATATCTCATAGCATATTTTTTCCTATACATTTCATATGGGAGGGAGAAGTCATTGACTTAGCATCTGTGTGAGGAAATCCATTTGGAACTATCCAGTCAATAATTCAAAAGACTCTAAATGAGTGTTCTGTGATTTGTCTCTTTTAAGCTGAAATGTGAAACAAGTATTTCCTCTATCTGGGCTGTAGTCCTCTAGATACTGTATTGCTAAACTATAGCTCCTAGAAGCTCCAGTCAGTATGGCCAATGTTGAAGGATATTGGGAGTTGCAGTTCAGCAGAATCTAGAAAGTTTCCACATCCCTGCTGTTCTAGCTTGTACTATGGTAATCACATAGCAAAGTGTAGCTTTTGTAAGTATACATCAATTAGAAGTGAAAATATTTCCTACCAGGGAAATAAGCAAATATTGGGAAAAGTTTTCTCAGCAAACATAGAACATTTTTCGATCATAGTACCTCAGGTCTTGGGGTTAAAACTATAATTCACTGAGCATAGAGACTGAACAGCCACCTAAAATGTATAATGGTGCATAAATCCCATGTCTGTGCAGAGCAGAGGTGAGCAGCCTACAGCCTGCATTCAGCCCCTTACCTTTCACATGCACTCTGCAGAACATACTACAGTGGGCAGAGATGATATTTCAGGCCATTCTGGGGTTGGAGGGGCTCCTTTAAAACAAAAACAAAAATACACCCATCAAAAACGGATTTTCCCCATTTGGGGTGGTTTAAAGAATAAGATAAGCAGGATACCCCCCCCTTCCAAAGTGGGTTTTTTTTGGTCCAAAATGTCTCCAAGTCTTACCCAATGGACTGTCCCAAAGAAATGCTTCAGAATTCTGGACACCAATGAGTTTGGCTTCTATCACCACCACTTTGTATCTGGAATTCTATAAGACATTTTATTCAAAGACATTGCCTAATTTCCTTGTTTAGAACAACTTCATGGCCACTGGGGGGAGTCAGTGTTAGAGTTACCATACCTGGCTGTAAATATCCAGACAACTGTTAGATGGCAGCACAAGGTTTTCTGCAGCTGGGATACAGTAGCCCCACTTGGTACATCAGATGTATATTGCCTTCTTGCCTTGACCCCTATCAAAAAAGCTGGCTGCTTTCTTTTTGTCTGACATACTGTGAGATAATATACAGTACCATGAATTACTATTACACTGAGAAACAGTCACCTTCACTAGGGGCAAAATAATATATCTGGTAAGAAATTTGCAATCCCAGAACATTTGACAGAGCCCAGCACTTTTCGTTTTTGCATGTTGATTTTTAATACCAAGAATAGATCTGAATCCTCTGTTTTTCTCTCCCCCCACCCCACCGCTTTATCACCCAGTTCACTGAAAAGCTTTTAAATGTCACAAAAGTAGGTCTTTTCTGCCCTTGTAAATATCTGCTTTGTTTTTCAACAGTGATTACTAATATCATCGCAAACTCTACACAGATAAGACACCACTAGTTTTCTTTCTGAGAAAATGCAAAATGTATGTGTAATATATAAAGAAAGGAATTGTAGATGGAATATGTTGTATCTATTTCTAATGCTGCCATCTGATTTTGAACTGCAGAATGGTTAGAACTAACAAGATTTCAATTAATTCAATCCTCTGTATTATGAGGTCATTATATTTGCAATGAAGCTGACTTTCTTCAGAGGTTAATTACCAGTGGAGTGATTTTACTTCTAGTATTTTCATCAGAGGATGGGAGAAGTTACTATAATATCTTCCCAACTTTACTGCAGGAGATAGTTGCTATTAAGATTCCACCTTGGTGATGGTATTATGTCCCCCAGCAAACGTCACACTTTCTTTCCTACATCTGTAACAAATGCTGAAATTTGACACCGAGGATCCTTACATCTTGTACTTAATGCATGAAGGTTTGAGGGCCAGACCTCGTGCTCTGGAGGTGATAAAATTGGTTACTGTAATGGGCCGCCTGCCAGCTCAGATTCTTGTTATTACTTACATTTGTTCCTCCATTCTTCATCTGAGCAGCTCACAATAGTTTACATTTAGTTCCCAAACAACAGCATGTCTGATGGTACTTGTTCCTTCTTTTCTTTTCCTCCATCTATGATGCAACATCCTATGATGTACAAAGGTAATGGTTAAAAAGTCAGACCATAGAACAGCTCTGTGGAAGCTGAAGAAAAGTTTTTGTACTACAGACAGCACCAGCACAGGCAATCTGCCTTGTCCATGGTATACATGGATAAAGACCGGACACTGAAAATGCCACAGCAACTCAGTGAACACATTCCAAGAGCTAGTAGGATGCTCAGTTTGGAGGACAGAAACAATCCCCAAATGGATGGTTTATTGCTTGAAAAGAAACCAGCCCAATTTCCTACCCATCACTAGTTTCTCCTGTTGGCTTTCTGTCTTAGTGCATACACAGCTGCCTTTTATCCGCACAACAACCTGGTGAGACATAGGTCGGTAGTGGCCCAGATCGCCCTCTGGGTGCATTTGTGTGATACCAAATGAAGTGGTATCTGATATCTGTTGATGCCAACAGATGCTCCTTTATGAAACAGTCTAACTGCAAACCATCTGGTGTTTTTTTTTTTAGGTTGCTTTGTTTATGAACCTAGTGCCCAATTCTCAGGGCATTGCTTGGAAGCTGGAGCTATCAAATGCGTTCATAAAGAAACTAAATTTCACTGCTGTTCCTACTGTGTGATTTCAGCCTCTAAGATTCCAGGCTGAGCTAGATTTGAACCCAGGCTTTCTTCCCTGCTACAACTCTCATTTTCTGCTCACCTGCAGCTTGGTACTCATTAGATATTTTGATCACTTGGGAAAAATACTGCACATTGCATTATGCCCTATATGGGTCTCCAAGATTTTATTTCTTTTATTGATTAAACAAATTTATATAGCTACCCATCTCACGAGAAGTTACTCTGGGTGACATACAATAATCAAATAAAAAACAATACATATATAAAAGCAAGCATTTAAAAATATAAAAAAGTCAACATTAAAAGTAGAGGTTAATTAAGACTAAAATATATACAAACCCCATGATGACCCAGTCACATGCCTTGAAGGGCTTTAAAGATTAAAACCAGCACCTTGAACTGGACCCAGAAGCAAACTGCCAACAAATGCAGTTTGCGGAGCAGAGGTGTAACATGTGCTGTCCTAGGAGTGCACATAACTGCCCACGCCACTGCATTCTGCACCAGCGGAAGCTTCCAAATACTCTTCAAAGGTAGCCCCATGTAGAGCGCATGACAATAATCCAATCTGGAAGTGACTAGGACATGAGTGACTGTGAGCAGAGCTTCCCAGTCCAGGAATGGGCACAACTGGCATACAACCTGAAGCTGTGCAAAGGCTGTCTTAGCCATGACTGTCACCTGCTCTTTGAGCAAGAGTTGTGAGTCCAGGAGGACCCCCAGATTGCGCACTGGAACTGTCTGGGGCAGTGCCACCCCATGCAGCACCAAGATGGCATGGTTATAGAACCAGTAGCCCCCAAGAGCCACTCAGTCTTGCCAGGGTTGAGCTGAAGCCTGTTTTTCCCCATCCAGATCCTCACAACCTCCAGGCACCAAAATAAGACATTCACAGCATCACTTAATTTGCCAGGGGCAGAGATGTATAATTGGGTATAATCAGCATACTGATGATACCTCACCCCTCGGTGATGGATGAGCTCACCCAGTAGCCTCATGCTGATGTTAAAAAGGAGAGGAGAGAGCACCGAACCCTGCGGCACTCCACATAGTAGGGGCTGTGGGCAGGATCTCTCCTCCCTGATCATCACTGACTGGAATCGACCCCGAAGAAAGGAGGCAAACTAGCACAGCGCCGTGCCGCCCATCCCTAGTTCCCTGAGCCAATTCAGAAGGATACCATGGTCGATGGTATTGAAAGCCACCAAAAGGTCAAGTAGGGCAAGGATGGATGCACAACCCCCATCCTGCCCACCCGAGATCATCCAAAAACTCAACCAATGCTTTCCATCCCATACCCAAGTCTGAATCCTGACTGAAAAGGATCCAAATAATCCACTTCATCCAAGGTCCTCTGAAGCTGTTGCACAACCATCTTCTCAACCACCTTTCCCAAGAAGGGGAGGGTAGATGCCAGACAAAGATATAAGAGGATTTATTTATTTATTTGTCAAATTTGTTACTGCCCATCTCATTGAAATGACCCTGGGCGGTTTACAAAACAGTTAAAATCAATTAAAATTACAATATACAATATTCTTAATAAATAGAAAATAAATAGATCCAAGAATAGATATAAAGGTTATATATAACTGCACACTGTACTCTTTCCCAGCGGAAAGGAAATTTCCAAAAGCAGAGGTCTATAAAATGAGGGTATGAAAGCACAGAGCTTTTTTGTGGTATCTGTTTTATGGGGGCAGTATCTACTTTTTTTCTTTTAGAATATTGTCCTAATTAGACATCATGTCCGTGCTAGTTTCTCAAATAACACCGCTTCATGTAGCAAGGCAATCCTTGGAGCTGCTCAAGATTCCTTTCTGCCAACCTGCCCTAAAACTGAAACTGAATCTACACACAAATGTATCTCCATCACTTTAAAGTTTTGCCACAAGGATAGAGCTGACCCGTGTGCACTTGTTTTTTTATGAACAAGGGCAGTGACGCTGGTAATGGAGTTAATGGGGAAATGGCATGATAAAAGGATTAAGTAAGATGTAGGCAACCTAGTGTTCTTCTGATGGTTTGTGCTACCACATCTACAGTCCCTTGCTGTTAGCTGTGCTTATGGTTGTTGATAGGGGTTCAGGTTGAAAATATCTGAGAGGCATCAAGTTGCTTATCCTGGATGAAGCACACACGTTTCGCACTGCAGACACAGCCTGTGGATGTAGATTGACCCACTCTTGTTATTTTCAGGTAATCATTATAAAAATATAAAAAGTCATTATTAAAAATGGAGAACACTATGAAAAATTTAAAATATACGAACCATACAGAGAGAGTAAAAAAGATCAGCCACAGTGGAGCCATCTAAGAATATCTCTGGTTCCCTGGGACCCCCAGGCCTGGTGACATAACCAGGTCTTGAGGGACTTCCGGAATGATGGCAGGAATGGAGCTAACCCGATCTCGGGGGTTGGGGGGAGAATGTTCCATAGACATGATTCCAAAATACATCTTTGTCCATTGTCACAAAATTACAGTATTCAGAAAAAGAGTAAAATATGATATATTTATGATTAAGGTGATGTCTAACAAGATTAGACAATTTAATTTTAGAGTAAAAAAAATAAAATGGAGAAGTAGCTTTCTTAAGCATCTAATGTTATTTAGCAAAAAGTGCCTTAGAAAAGATAATAAAATAATTTGGTTAGTATTAGAACAACTAAATATATTGTTGTTGTTCTAATGTACAACAATGTATACATTTGGAGAAAAGAAAAGGAAAGGAAAACTGAGTGAAGTAGCAGTATCATATATATGCCTTGATTGGAATACAGAAAAAAAGGAAATACCAAAATTTTACTTTCAGTTGGAAATTATTTTATGCTGGTCTACAGTGAAAAATGATAGAAGCTAACTGGAAATGCTATCAGTTTAGAAGATTTAGGAATATAGTAAAGGAAGACAGCATATTCTCTGATGCAGAACTCTTTAAAAAAAAGTACGGATATGCCACTTTCTCAGCTGGGAAATTGGGTCTAAGATAATTAATGTGAAAATAGTTTATAACAGAACCAATAATACATTCCTGAAAACAAAGACATGTTGTTCATAATGAATCTGGTATCAATTAAAATTAAACTAATAAGATGATTGTTTAAAATGAAATTAGATTTTAATTATAGTGGAACTATCAATAAAATTATATATATGGAAAGAAAAGGAAAGCATTTATTTGATGGAATTTGTATTTTTATGTTTACCTTTGACTCAGATAAGGAAGAACAATTATCCGTGTACATCATCTATTTGCAATATGATTTTGGAGGAGCAAAAGTGTTGCATATATTATGGGGGTGCCCTTCCATATGTGAAGGACATCAAATTGAGGAAGGCTGAAACTTTAGCTAACTGAAACTCTGGGTCATGTAGAAAATTTGAATGGCATTTGTATGGATCTTGAGAGATGGGTTGACTTAAAATAAGGTCAAAGTGAAATGCTTTCTCTCTCTCTCTCTCTCTCTCTCTCTCTCTCTCTCTCTCTTTCTTGAAACTTAATCAATAGCTTCCTCATGGGAAGAGATAACCAGCTCTGTAGCTGCTGTCATATAATTACAGCGTGTCTTCTGTCCATTACTCAGCACTCCATCTGCATGGCTGAAGATGCACAGAGCAGGCCTTTAAAGAGCAGGAATGCTTTTCACGCTGGGCAACATTCTTTCTGGAGTGTCAGGGAGACTAGGTTGAGATAACCCCACCAAATCACTTTTCTTTTCTGCGTTGGGAGAAAAAGTTCATTGCCTTGGTTCCCTTATCTAGCTCAAAAGCCGAAGGGAGAATTTTTGTCCCCCCTGCTTCACATCTTCTGTCACGACTTTCACCTTACACAGCAAAATGTTACCGAGCGATGCCTCTGCCTTGCATGTCCTCACGCTTACAGACCACCCAGCCTTTCCCCGGAGTATGTCACAGGCTACCTTTATGCATCTTCCCACAGTCTGAAGGACTTAGGCACTTTTCTATCATCCTTCTACTCAGATGAGAATATGGTTAGGAAGCGCTTATCCCTTATTTAGCATCTGATTATTTCTTTCGTTCACAAAATCACTCAACACCCCCTCACGCTTGTAGATTCTCAACTTCTTTGAAGCATTAGTTTATCTGGTGAGGTGCCAGGAACTTATTTTAAAGAAAGCTGTTGTATCTCTTAATTCCAGGGTTCACAGTGTTCATAAATGAGGAAGATAAGACTAGTTGAAAACAAATGCTGAAAAAGAAAAAGAACTTAATATACAATAGGCAATGTGGAAGCAGCCCTTACTTTTGGATTGGACATGAATTATTTTCTTTTTAATGTGATTCATTATCTGCCGTTATAGAAAAATTGTGTTGGGTAACTAAAGCTGGAGTCCTTTACATG